TACAGCATCCCGCCGCCGGTCTCCCAGGTACCTCCCAGCCCCGCTGCTGAGGGTGGAGCGGCCTGGGCCGCTACCTTGTGCTGTCGCTGACGGGCTGCGCGGCGCCCGGGGGCCGTCTCCCGCTGCCTCGGCTGCTCCCGGGGCTGGGGTACCGGGGCTCGGGGTGTCTGGGGGGAACCCAGCTGCTAAGCGAGGATAGAGAGAATCCCAGCACAGATAAAAGTGACATGCGGCGGTATGTTGTTTCTGTGAAAACAGGCGAAGAGCATTATTCTGGTCAGTTAAATGAATGCTGCGGCCTTAATCTCAAAAGTATTTTAGAGGGTTGGGTAATTCTGCTATATGCAAAGGATATATGGAAGTTATGCCCGTTTCGTTTAGGAATCATCCTGAGAAGGCTTCGATAATTGCCTCGTAGTTTGCTTAACAGAAAAACAAAAAGCAGCACGTTGAAGTCTGAGGTCTCATCGCGTGCTCGTCTGTAGGAAAAGCGAAATTGTGCTCTGAGACTGTAGCTCAGGTCATTTTGCAGGGAAGGATGTCTTTTGCAAATAAGTATTGCATAGGGCTTTCTTAATACTTAGGTGTTTTGTATGAGTGAAAGGCTTTATGTAGGAACATACTGAAGCAGGCTGGATGACACTTCTTCACGTAAAAACTTACGACCCTGTGTTCTGTAGGAAAGTCAGCACTTGCTGAGAGAGTGATTCTGTGTGGATGGGGAGATAACGTTAATAACAAATGTTCTGTGTTTTTCTGTAGTTACAGTTCAAACATTTATTGTTGCTGTGCTGTAGTAGTTTTAAGACTAGAAACTTCCTTTCCCTGCTTAACCTTTGTGTCTTTTTCCTAGGGTAAATGGAAAAACAAGGAGCGAGTGCTTATTTTCTCTTCTCGTGGAATTAATTTCAGAACAAGGCACCTAATGCAAGACTTAAGAACATTGATGCCTCACTCTAAAGCAGGTAGGGTTAAGCATCATCCCTAACTTACATATTCAGAGTAGTTTTAAACCAAGAACTCCTAACAACCTGTTCTTTTTGAAAATGTGGCACATAACTGTTTTGACGAAACTTTTATCTTAAACAAACACCAAACCTCTTTTGAGCGAACAAATACAGTCACTGTCGTTGTATCTTAATATTTTCTGGGAAATTACTCCTATGGCCTCAGTCCTGTAGGTGCCCAGACACTTTTGTTGCTATGTTTATTTATTGCATAACATGGCTGAAACAGCTTGATAGTTATTTTTAATCTTTCGTTTATAACCAGTAAAATTTTTGCAAAAGGACTGACTCTTAAAAGAACTTCTTGTGTTGAATTGGTTTTCTAGCCTTCTAAATGTTGTTCTTGTCTTCCAGATACTAAAATGGACCGTAAAGACCAGTTGTTTGTAATTAATGAGGTAATCCACGATTTAACTAGTGCTTCTTTTTTATTTTCTCTGGAAATTCAATGTGCAAGAGAAAAGGGCAACCAAGTTCGAAGGATCTCATACTAGTTATAGGAGTTGTATACCTTCATAGATTAAAATTAGGTATTCAAAAAGTGCTCATGTTAAAACAGGAAGTTGACTTTTGATTAATAAAACCAAAATGAAACCTTTAATTAAACACAGACTTTCATCATGAAGAAATAAACTGGAATGTGCCTTTCTGTATAGGTGAAAGGTGTATTACAGTTTATGCTTGAAGCAAGCAGGGAACAAATATGCAGCCAGGCCAAACAATGTAGTAGGACATTGGTAGTTCTGAAACTAGAACCTAATGTCACAGCTCCTGCTCTGATGTTTATGTCCTGGAGAGCTTATTGGATTGCTTGTAGCTTTAGTAAAGTTATTACTCCTGGTAATAAATACGTGACATTTTTCAACATAACAAGTGCTTCAACTTAAGTTTGGGGATCGGTGGGTGTAATTTATTAAGACGAGACCTTTGCTTTTGAACTTATATTTTGGAGGGGGGAAGATAATTAGAGATTAATGTGGAAAGTTTTTGAAAATGTCTTCAGAATTTTGTAAACAGCTAATTTGGCTTGTCTTGTGTAGGTGTGTGAAATGAAAAACTGCAATAAGTGCATCTTTTTTGAAGCCAAAAAGAAACAGGATCTCTATATGTGGTAAGGAAATGTTATGTTTTCTTACATTTCCATATATAGCTGGGGATGCTTCCGTTCTATCTAACGTTTCTTACTGTAATAGTGAAGATGCGTGAAATAGTGTTGCTTAGTTAAATCTGTACTAATCGTGCACTTCTGTGGGTAGTGCAAGTTTACAATGTGTGACCAGCTTTTGTAGACTGTTTACAGAAGCATTTTACAAAATTGTTTAGAAAGCATGTATTTATAAGTATGTTAAAGGAAATCAATAATGCTATAAAAGCAACTGAAATTACTTCAATACGGAAATAACCGGTTGGAGTGTACTGTAGAAATTCAGCATACCTTCTGGCTGCTGTTGACGTTTTTCTTTTCTCTCTTCCCCACTACCTGTCTTCTGCAGGCTTTCAAATACACCGCAGGGACCATCAGCTAAATTCTTAGTGCAGAACGGTAAGTTGGTTGACATTATCGTGTTTGGACTCTTGCTTTCTTGTCTGTACAGTTTTCTGTAAGTACTAAAACGATCTTTTTTTAAAAAATCACTGTAGTTCACACACTGGCTGAATTGAAGATGACAGGAAACTGCCTAAGGGGCTCACGGCCCCTTTTGTCTTTTGATCCAGTAAGTATAGGTTTTATTTCATTGAGTATGCTTTTGTTTTCTTTGCGTGACTATTGTATTTAGCTTTGTATGTGAAATTACATTTTTTCTTTGTAGACATTTGACAAGGAGCCACACTATGCCCTGCTGAAAGAATTGTTTATTCAGGTCAGTCTGTAGTTCTGCTGTCCAGTGTTTCTTCCTCATTGGAAATGTTCTTTGGCAACATACTTAAAAATCTCAAGGGTTTTTTTAAGTAGTAGTTTTACACTTCTGAACTTGCAAAAAAATCTTCAAAGGATTAGGGTCATGTGCTTAAAATCATTGGGACACTTGTTCTTAAGTTTTGAGTTTTGAAATGTAACCTGGGATCGGGATCTTAGTAAATTAAAATTAATTAAAAATAAGCCATTTATGTTTGGCCTCTTAAATTACAGATATTTAGAAGTACTGCCTTTTATTACAGATATTTAGTACACCACAGTATCACCCCAAAAGCCAGCCTTTTGTAGATCATGTTTTCACCTTCACCATTACAGACGAGAGGATCTGGTTTCGGAATTACCAGGTTAGTGGTCTCTTAGCTCTTTGAGAGGAGCTCAGTGGAATAGTCTCATAGCAAATCCATTAATTACAATAAAATGAGAAGAGTCATTATTATCAGGATATGCCAACACCTAGTGCTTGCACAAAGTAATTTCAGTGTCTTAAAATGACATCTTCTCCCGTATCTCTGGAGAGAGATGGTTTAAGTTCTGTGTACTTCAACTTGCATTCTGTTAGTTGTGATTCTGTGATGGTTGTCTCGGTAATGGGAAGCACTAGCAAAAGCCTAAGCTTTGCTTGCCTTTTAATCTTAATTGCTGCTTTGACCCAAAGTGTGCTGGAGCTTACTTTCTAAAGGAGGAATTCGCAAATACCTAGAACTCTCCAAGTGCTTGCTTGCACCTGAAAGAACTGCTTGATATACAGAATTGTGTTTATACAAGTCTAGCTTATGAGCTTCAGCAGCATCGTATCTTGGATTCAAATTCAGTTGTGTATCGCCGTATGCAAGCTGCCTACAAGGTCATACACTTTGATTTGATCCATGAGAAATGGAGTATTCTTTTTATTGCAGATAATAGAGGAAGATGCATCTCTAGTAGAAATTGGGCCTCGTTTTGTCCTGAACCTCATAAAAATCTTCCAAGGTAGCTTTGGAGGACCAACTCTGTATGAAAATCCGCATTACCGGTCCCCAAATATGGTAAGCAGTTTTGTCTTTGTCTTGTCTTTCATTTAGCAACTAATTTGAAAACCGATCTTGCAGTCTGTCTGTGCAGGAGCATCATGTATGCCTTTCCCTGGGACCCTTTGTAGAAAAGAGTGCCCTAACTGATCACAATTTGAGAACAGGGTAATTTTGTAAAAATTGAATGAATGCAAAATTCATGTCACTGAAAAGATTGCATTACACTGAGGATTTTGACAATTAAGCAGAGAAATTACCGCCTGTTTCTTTAATACCTGATTTTGTCCATCTTGCTTATTTGAAACCTGTTGTAATTTAAATTCTTATTTTTATAGCATCGACGGCTGATAAGATTGTCAGTGGCAGCTAAGTTTAGAGAGAAACAGCAAGTGAAGGAAGTACAAAAGATTAAGAAAAAAGGGAGTAAGGTGCTTATTGAAGAAGATCCCACTGAAGTGGTCTTTGAAACTCCAGCTGAAGAAAAGCCAGTAGAAATACAGCTCGTGAAACCAGAGTCAAAGCCAATTGTTAAAGATAAAAAGAAGCCACGCAAAATTCAGAGGAAGAAGCAAAAAAAGCTTTTCAGAACCGAAGCATCAGCATAAATGTTACAAGTGATGAAACTAGCTATATTGACATAATATTGTAAATACTTGTTTTTACGGGCAAAACTAACTGGACTTCAGTTTTGAGTAAACAAAATACCAATTTCTTTATTAGGATTGAGTTTGCACTCTTCTATTGTCTTCTTCTCTTTGAGAGGATTCTGGGTTTTGAAAAACAACATGGCAACAGGGAAAGGGGAATAAGACACTCCAAATATTTCTGCTTTTGAGAATTGGCCTCTGAGACTTGAATATCTCTGGGAGACAACTCACTGTAACATGTACAAGGAATAAAAATAACTGGGTGGTCATTGATGCTCATTATGAACTGGCATTCAGAAGTCAGCTTTCCTAGTCTGACACCAGTAGAAAATACTTCAAAAAGTTTTAACTTTATAGGAATTCTCTCTTGGGGAGCATTGTTAATTTTTTCACCTCATAATCCCTCAGGAATGCAAAGGGTTATGGCCTCTTAGTTGCTCTTTTTTATTAATAGTAAAAAAGCTGCTACTTTTGCCTGTGGTAGCTCCTGTACCTAATCAGGTTCTTAGGACCTGAAACGTAGCTATGGGGGAGAAACAGGCTAACTTATGATTCTAGCCCTTAATACCAAATTCATTGCAAGTTCCCTGAAGGCAAGAGGTACCTGCTACCTGTGACTGTGTATCAAACCCATACACCTACAGTAGCCTGAAATGGAATTGCCTGTGATTCTGTTACTGCAGCAGTGCTTAAAAGCAATGATTATGTTTAAGAATTCCATGTTTTTATACGCTTACATATACAAGCAATTTTTTTTTAAATGCTGTCCTCTTGGTTCAATTGTATGTGTTGTTTTAGGTTTTGTTTTTCAAAGTAGAGTGAGTCCATATAGGTTTTTCCATATAAAATTGGCAAATGAGCTTCCAATATTGCTTAAAAGTCATTACAACCAAAAGCCTTGATTTTGCTCATGGAGATAATGTCTGTACTTTAAATAGAATCATAGAATCATTAAGGTTGGAAGAGACCTCTAAGATCATCGAGTCCAACCGTCAACCCAACACCACCACCCACTAAACCATGTCCCTAAGCACCTCATCTACACGTCTTTTAAATACCTCCAGGGATGGGGACTCAACCACTTCCCTGG